TTTGATTATGTTCAACTTTCTTCCAGGTTCCACAACTTGCGGGTTCATTGATGCCAATCTGTGAGGTCTTTGGTTCCTGTGCACCCACCATCTCGTGGACTCTTACAACAGGGGAGGAAATTTCTTCCCATGCTGTATTTTCTAATGCATTCACTCTGCTATTGAAGTTATGGAGGTTTGATCAACCTCCTATGGAAAATGTCTCAGGAGATGTCCCTCCAGTTGGATCCCATATAACTCCAGAATACCTCTTAATGGTGCGCAACTCCCAGTTAGCGTCATATGAGAATCCACTGAAGGATCAAAATAAAATCAAAAGATTGTCAAGATTTTCAAGTCCATCATCTAGAGAGCCAATATTCATGGATTCTTTTCCAAAGTTAAAGCGTTGGTACAGGCAGCATCAAGAATGTATTGCTTCCATCCTTTCTGGTCTGGTACCTGGAACCCCTGTTCACCATATTGTGGAGGCCCTTCTGAATTTTATGTTCAGAAAAATAAATAGGGGATGCCAACCACTGACTTCTACAACTTCTGGAAGTAGCGCCTCTTCTGCGTCTGGAGCTGACGATTACTGTCTACGTCTTAAATTACCTGCTTGGGATATTCTTGAAGCTGTTCCTTTTGTGCTTGATGCTTCCCTGACTGCCTGTGCCCATGGGAGATTGTCACCCCGTGAACTGACTACTGGTTAGTAACTGTACATACTATTAAATTGTATTGTTAGCATTTCTAGAATTATCATCTTCGAAGGACGCTTATGCTGTTGTCTCAGGAAGGTGAGCTCATCAGATCCATTTCAGACATGCATGAGAGAGAAACAGAGAGCACTTATTTTAGTAACATGATAAGACTTGTACAGCAAATTCTAATTGGCTTTTTTATGTTCTACTTTTCTTTCATAAACAAGGACATGTTTAAGAACTGAACTGCCACATATGTTTGACTTCTGACTGATTAGCACATTTGAATTTTTTGTTGCTAAAATTTTGAGATGATTGCATAGATAAGCAATCTTATTTAGATTTCCAAGTGTAAGTCTCCTTGCAAAATACTAGAGAAGTAAAAGCAGAAACTCTTCTTGAACCTGCCTTTATGTTATAATCTAGTTTTCTAAATTGAATGTCTTATCATTTGGAATTTTTGTCTAATCTCATCTTGCTCATTTGTCAGCATTTTGTCTTTTGTTTATTTTTATTACAAGTTAAATATGGTCAGGTTTCTCTTGCTTCTGCAATGACCCAGGTGAAGGTTGCAGCTTCACTGGGGGCATCTTTGGTTTGGATGACCGGTGGATTGAGCTTGGTTCAATCTTTAATTAAAGAAACACTGCCATCATGGTTCATATCAGTTCATGGATCGGAGCCCAATGGCGAGGATTCAGGAGGTATGATTGCAATGCTCGGTGGTTACGCTCTCGCATACTTCGCCGTATTTTCGGGTATATTCGCCTGGGGAGTCGACCTGACACAAACGGCGTCTAAACATCGGCCTAAAGTTCTCGGGAAGCACTTTGAATTCCTAGCAAGTGCCCTAGATGGAAAAATATCGCTCGGTTGTAACAAGGCTACCTGGAAGGCTTATGTCACGGGTTTCGTGAGCTTGATGGTGGGATGCACGCCGATGTGGATGCTGGAGGTGGATGTACAAGTTTTGAAGAGTGTTAGTAAAGGATTAAAACAGTGGAATGAGGAAGAACTTGCAGTGGCCCTCCTTGGAATTAGTGGAATCAATGCAATGGGTGCAGCTGCTGAAATGATTATAGAAACTGGATTTTGAATTTTGTTAGGTAATTTGCTCAGAAAATTTTTCCTTAGTTACACGATTTGTACCTACGGGGAAACTTTAGAAACCTTACTTTTATTAATTTCAATGTAGAGGTATGGAATATAGTCTTGTATAGTTCGAAGTTTAGGTAAAATGTGATTTTAACACTGTACATATGATCCTCCAGGGATTGGAGCAGACTATTCATTTTAGTTTGGATATTGGATTAACTTAGATGCATTTCATCTGCTGTTTTCAAAACCGTTTCAGTTTTCAGTTTTGCAAAACATTTTGGTTTGGTATTTTTAAAATTGTATTTTTGAAAATAAGGATAAATTTATAACATGAAACTTGAAATGCATTACTTGAAAAGCATTTATGATGTTTTGAGTTTTTCAAGTCCACGTCATTAACTTTTTATTTTTATTTTCTATATTTTAAATTAATGTATTATTTTAGTTTTAATATTTTTAATGGAAAAAAATATTATAAGATTCACTAATTTTAAAATATATATAATACTTAATAATATGCTAACATAAAATTATTCTATTTTTACTGGATAATCAAATTTAATGAAATAAGTATAAAATAAAATTTCAAAATTTCAAATCAAACGCGTTTTCCAATTTTTAGTTTTGAGTATTAATTTTTCAAAATAACAAAATAAATGCGTTTTTAAATTCTTAAAACAAACACTCAAAATAGAAAATGAACTCATAATTGAAAATCGAAATACAAACCAAATGGGCCCCCTACTTTGGCTTCAAAGGAAAGTATGACCAATTCAAAACTAAGATAATAAGTTTAAATTCAAGTGATAACTAGATAACTGAAGATTTTTATTAATTAAATACATAAAAATCACAATTAATGGTCACAGTTACATACTTATAAGCCACAACTTATTTAATTGTCATATATTATCGAATTAATTGACCAAAAAATATTTTTCGTCACAAATAAAAAATATTAAAGTCACAAATTTTATTTACTTGTCACAAATCACAAATATTATATGTCACAACTTATTTAACAATCACAAGTCACAAATTATTTTTAGTAATAAATTATCAAAATTTTAAATTACAGATAAATAATTGATTACAAATAACCAAATAGTTGATCACATGTACCAAACATCCCATCCACTACCAATACTTGAGTTCAAATCAACCATACAATTGATCACAAAAAGTCTTCATCCCTCCTTGTTGCTGCCACAACCACCAGCAATAACAACCATACAAACACCACGACACTACTGCCACCGCCATCGCCATCGCCAGATCCATAGCCAACAAAAACTACATCTCAAAATGACTCTTAAACAGACCCAAATCTAGAAGTTGAGCCAATAATCCAACTCGAGCTCAAATTTGATGAACCGGTCACCGGCATCTATGTTTCTTATATTGGTGAACGACTCTCCGATCTGGATTCATTCGTCGTCGATATTGTTGCCTCCTCGTCGGAGCTCCATCTCTGCTAGTCGGTCTCCATAGATCTTGAATTTCAGAATTAGAATATAATAAATCTAATAATTTGAAATTTATTGCTGGAAATTTATTGGGTGTAGCTTCTGCTTTCACAAAAAAATGTAGGTTAGGTGGGGCGAGTGAGAAGAGAGAGATGGTCGGAAAGATGAATTTTAGGGGTTGGGATTAAATTGGATTGGAATGGGGTTGAATGGATTATTATTATTATTATTATTATTACTTGATTTATGATTAAATAAACTTATTATCTGATTTTTGAACTATGATTTTGAAAAGCCTAGTCTTGTGTAATTTTCACTAAATGTATTTCAATATCTTGGCTCAATCTTCTTAAGAGACAAGGAAAGTTTGGTAAGATAGATTAAATAATACTGTACTCAAACGAGAGAGAAGAAAATGTGCTCTCTTCCTATTGTATGATAACATAGACCTACCCATGATGTTCTTTTATTATTTAAGTGGCTATGTTCTGCTTTGTACTGTCCATATGGGGTTGGAGTCTGCCCTCCAATTTAAGAGTATAGAGACGTTGCTTATTAGGCCTATACCATTGTACTTTTCTTCATTATTAATAAAAACTCCACGTCATTTGTTTGAATTATACATGTCATGTAATAATCGATAATAGGGACTTTTTTCAGTACTCCCAAAAAAAAAAAAGGTTAAGCGCCTTGAAAGATGATCGACACTTATCTGCGAGAGGATTCATTTAGCATTCTCATGCCAGTTAGATTTGACATCAATAAGCATCAAGGCCCTATGAGGCCAGTCCTTGAGGCTGACAATGTTCTTTTGAGGGTCGAGTTTGTACAGGAAGTCGATGCATTGCTGCAAGAGGTTCAGTCGGAACAAAGTGAAGCACAAAATATGCAAGGTCTTGACCCCGAATCTGTGGCTAGTAGATTAAAGCAACAGGAGAAGCAACGAGCCATTCACCAAGTAGAAGCTCTATTAGATTTGGCAATTCAAATTCTACATGGAAGATTATCTATAAGAACAACAATTCTTACAGAATAAAATCTTAGCGAAACACCATTTTTGGGAATAATACACTATTCGTTGTTCATTCTTTTTCTTTCATCTGGGCTGAATCAGATGTTGACAAAGAAACACTGCATCGTCCCGTAGTAATCAGATGAACATGATTGTAAGGCTAAGCAATGCCAGTTACACTGAATTGATATTACTTATTAGCCATAGTAACTCAGAAATATATGACAAAATGGACAACTTTCTTCAAGATCTGAACTATCGGCATTGTGGATTACAGAAACCGAGACTATAAAGAATTAAATATTACAACTGCCATAAGAAAGTTAAAAAAATAAACTCCTTTCTAGCATGCCAATAGGCTTTAGATTTAGAAATTAAAAGGTTCTCATAACATGGATGGGAAGTAAGTATATTTCCTATAGCAATTTTATAGCTTCTGTGATTCTCAGGTTTATGGATAAATACAACTAAACAATGAGTACAGAATCTTGCACAAATTTCATGCATCTGTAGATAAATCTGATCAAACGACACCTCCCTGAAATTGATCATCTGGTCACAAAGAACGATCATTGCTGAGTACCATTGTGGACAAAGTACAAAAGAATTACTCAGTTATTCAAACGCCAGCATCAGGAGAGGCAATAGAACCTGTTTTGCTACTTTTTCGAGAATTTCTCTTGGTAGAAACAAGTGGATTATTTTCCTCCTCATCAATTGCTGGTGGTCTCTCAAACTCCATTCCTTTGAAGACAGGATGTATGTAAGCATCCTGCAGGTATGCTCTCAAGTTTAAGTTTGGCTCCGTAGCTCTTTCTAATGTGTCTTTCACCATCGCATCCTGTTTGGTAACGAAATAAAATAATTGATTAAGGAGCCAGAACACCATGTTACTATCTTTAAAGAAAGAGAATTTTATAAATTTTCCAGGGTTAAAGAAAATTCATGGTAAGCGTGCTAATCGTTGAATATGTCTAGTGAACATTATCACACAATAATTTTTAGTGAACATTATCACATAATAATTCTCATTCTTAAGTCGACCATTATACACAGTTCAAAAGAAATTATCGTGTTGTGAGCGGTAGACGATGTGACCGTGGTTCAGTTTAAAAAAGAAAATTCTCAAAAAATTTTGTTGAATACAATTAGACGATATGATCGTGGTTCAATAGTATATTAGGTATTTTATATATCTATTAAGTAACCCTAATATTCATGCATCTAAAAAAGATCATTTAGCACAGACACTCCTAATAGTGCTGTGTGTCCTTGTTCAACAAGTGTCGTGTTGTGATTGCCACCGACACTTCTCGGATACTCCATGAAATATACCATATCTAATATTCCTTCCAAGGTAGTATAATAGCTTGTTTAAATTAAAATTAATATAACCAATAGCTCCTCAACAAATTTAAAAGATTTCAAGAACAAAAATTATAACTAAGAAAAGAATTGATTTTATTATATTAAAAGATAAAAATCTAAACATAAAGATAGAATATATATAAATCAACAATTTTAAAGAATTTATATTAAAGTATCCCCAACATGTTGCTGTCCTACATTTTGGGAAATCACAATGTCAACATCTCCACGTCGTGTCATGTCACATTTGTGCCCTTTTCACCTAGATGGTGCGAGTTCAGTATTGTAATCATTTTTCTTATTTGTAGGGAAAATTTGGAGTGGCGAATAGACATAGGCATAGCTATGGTGAATCACTATAAACTTGTGTGTTTACTCATGGTGTGTATGATTTCATTCTGCCTAATATTGCTCTCATAACTGGGATTTAGGAACTAATCTATTAACAATCACTGTCCATAGGATTTGCATGTGCACTAATTGTTCCTATAGTAAATGAGGCATGATGAGGAGAGAAGTTCCAGAAGAGAGCAATCCAGGAATAAAATAGCACACTAACCTGCAATGGAAATTTCACGAACGCAGACTCAAAGCGCCCTTTGCAAATTCGATGAAACCAGATGGTCAAGACAGGAAGTACGAGTATCAATGGTGTTGCTTTGGGAGCACCTCTGGTGCTTAATAACCCCATCAGTAGAACTTGTGATATTATCAGACCAATAATCACACGACGATGGACATCTGGCCAAAATCTTGCCCCACTTTCGTACTTTTGGTCATACACATTGATGATCTAGTTATAAGAACCAATTGCAAAATAGGATTACTTTCTGACCAATGTTCATCAATAACACTATATATAGTGCTCAGTGAATATTTCGAAAAAGTTAAAAGAAAAAGGTTTCATGCTCTAATATACAAGCATACACTTTTTTAGTTATTTAAAGCATATAACCTAATTTAGGAAGCGTGTATGAGAATGGCTCACACACAAAACAAACACGGACAACCTTCTAATTTTCTGTTGATTCCAAAGGAGACTAGATAACTAAGCAACAAAATGCATTGATTCAAGAAAGAATACTGAGAATTAAAGAAGACTTCAGAAAACTCAAAGTCCGTTCAAAAATCAACGAGTCCAAATTGCCAGTATTTGGTGTGAACCAACGAGTTCTTGATGCCTATTTCCAGTTACTTAAGAGTGGATCAACAGGAACTAGAAGGTTGTACGTGAATTCCATATTTCAAAAATCACTTCTTCATCAACATTAATTCCAAGGTAAATACCTGATGGCGGAAAACCATAAAAGCAAAGGCAAAGAAGACGATTATGAAAGGTAAAAGAATAGGTGTGACTGGCGCATAGACAAGCCCCAGTAGGAAATATAGCTGTATACGAGGTTCTGATGTGGAAAAATTAATAGAACCAGGATCCATCGCCTGCTCCCTGTCCTGCTCTGTTTTTACCAAGAATGTGTTCTTGAGGTGGAACATGATTAATGGAACCAATCTAAGGATCTCTGCTGCAATGCCAGCCCAACCATCAACCATAATATAAGTAATAAAGAAAGTGGCTTTCATAGGAATGGCAACACCCACGGTTTTAGGGATCCTGCAAGGTAGTATAATATCAAGGATATCATGTCTCATTAGCAATATGGTTTTATGTTTCTTCTCACGATAAAAATTGCATTGGAAAGAGGAAAAAATGCACATTTAGATGAAGTAAATAAGGGTACATTCCTATGAAAGGAAATCAAATCTCAAGAACCACAGATTTTCCAGGAATTCTCAAGAATTTGAACCAATAAGAATTCAAAAGTATATTTTCTTTCTCGGTATGAGGAATTAAGTTTAAAAACGTGATATTAATTTCTAAATAAGGTTTAAGTGCTTGTAAGTTACCTATAATCAATGATAAAATTAAGAGTCCAGTAACATTAATCAAACCAATGTCAATACTTCATAATTCCTGAGTGTTTCTAAATTCTTGCCTCAACTAGAGCATATCAATGGGCCTCTGCTACTCTATTCGCAACATACTGAACGTTTGTACTCATTTGGACATCTAATTCTATTGCACTTTCATAAAGTCATTCAGTAAACAATAAATTACAGAATTAACCTAGATGTAACATGAAATGTACTTTGAGAGGGAAATGAAGACAAAAGGCTGCTGAAAAGAAATAAAGAAATCTTCCTCACATGCTTGGGAATATTAAACCTTCACAAAATTAACATACATGTATTGTTAAATGTACTTTGAGAGGGAAACAATGCTAAAAGGCTTCCGAAGGAAAGAAGAAATCTTCTATACGGCCTAATGGAGAATACATTATCAGGGAATATTAAACCTCCACATTCGATGGTACAAGATTACCACGAATATTGTGGCCAGTGGAAA